TTATTCCATGTGTTATGTGCTAATCACACATAAGTAGAAGAAATTTTGCTGCACACGCGCGCATTGAAATAAGCTTAACATGCCCAGATCCAAACTCAGTTTATTTGATTGATAAAATTAAAAGTCTTCGTAAAAGTTAATTTATTTGGAATTTTGTTGATGAAAGTGATTGCATGATCAGCGAAGTGCCAAAATATTCTACCTTTATCCATTACAATGCTGTATTATTATAGTACAAAAATAGCATGTCTTTGATTTGTGACATAAATTTCGTTCTCGTATTTTTTCTGCTGAAACTATGAAATATCAACTCTTTCGCGCTTAACGGCAATAAGGGTACTTCAACACCCTTGAGTAGATTGATTTTAGGGTGAAATGAGGCTGACAGTTATTTGGAGCACGGTGCGGTAAGATGTAGGACCATTCTAAGCTTTTTTCAATAGTGATTGTGTCATAGAATCAATGAGAAGCATTAATTTTACCATTTAACAATACCTGTGGGGGAATCGCGTGATAGCCTGTAGTTTAAACTACGATGGCACTGTCTATATATGACCTTAATTTCTAAAAGAGTCAGTTTAAACTATGAACTATATTCTCCACCTTTTCATATTTGTGTGGGTTAACGATAGTACATTTTTTCATGTTTTTTAGGCTTTGTGCCAAATTGTGAAGATAAATACCCTTTCAGTATACTGGTGAAAATACTGTGAAAAGTTTTCTACTTTTGGCATTAGAAATATTTGTTTTGTCTTGGATTACAATTTTGATTTGCAATACTGCACCTCGCCCTGGGAATACATAAATATCGTGAAACTTTAAAAATAAATATACGTTAAACTGATAAAAATTAAATTATATGCTTACTACCTTTGCATTTGATATTTAACCATCAGCGATCTAATTACGATCTAACAGGTTCAAATCAATAATTTTTCAACTTATCGCCTTAAGTACATATGAAGAAATTATTAGAATTAAACCTATTGAGTAGAACGTATCGATTATCATATGCATGCTTATATCCCATAAGTGAATTAATGGTTATAGTGATTGATGTCTGACTATCAAGCAGGCCAGTTGGTGAATACGTTTCAAATGGGAACAAGTTAAAATTTAATTTTATTAATTTTCGTTGTAATCTATGCATCTTAAGGAAATTTGTATTGAAATGAAAGGAATTCCGAAAAGACATATCTAATTCGCAAATAAAAATAATATATTAATTATGTATTTAATAAAAATTAAAATTTATATAAAACCACTGTGCTGAAGTAGTTAATTCATAAAGCAGATTTTGAGTTTGATGGTTTCGCGCTAACCATCAACGGACAACAAATTCATGCTACGGAAGGACAGTTGACATCCATTGAAATGAATCATTGCCAAATTATCACATTTAAAATGTGTAGGAAATGAGAACAAGTTCAATTAGACCATAACTTTAGAGTGCCTCGGGCGCAATTAACTTGATTTTAAATACGAATTTCGTAGCCAAAGTATGAATTTTAGAATTTTGCTTTGTGCTGTAATTTAAGTAGATATTTTAAGGTATCTATTTCGACGGTGTAACTTTACTTCCATAAAAAAATGCTCCATATAAATTATGACTCCAGAAGCAATAACTCCTTTGAGAAAATATAATTTTTTTTCGCTCTCAAATATTTCCATTTTAATGAAACTAACTATACTGCCCAAATTTGGACAAAAGCAAAATTTGGGCCATATTTTACCACTGTAGGTGAAATCAAAATATGGCAAGCTATCTTCAATGATAAAAATATCTAAATTAATTATCCATACAAGCATATTAATGTTTATTGATCATTATTTCCAAATTTACATAATTGATTTTCATAGTTCTGGCTTATATTTCTTGGTCTTTTTAATAAAGTGAAATAGTTAGCGTTTTTAACTTAACACAAAAATGTGTTGCGAGATAGGTTACCTGAGTGACTCCTCGTTCATTGTTCTATCATTGGTTTAAATGAAAGCCGAGTGAATATTGAAGAATCGAAATAATTTACTGATTTTTGCTTACCTTATCTCAACTCATTGCTGCTTAAAATGCAGGAAAATTGCTAACTAGTCATGATTTTATAATAATATATATATATATATCTGAGTGGGGTGTGCGATAGACTTGTGCGATTCGCTACAGACTTACCTCCACGTGGTGTACTCTGGGCAACGTATTCTCATAAAGCAAAAAGTCTATTAACTGGTAGTTGACTTCTCACTTCAAACTACCATCATCTCACTCTATGCCATATTCGACTATTTTCACAGTACTCACCTCACCTTTTTTCTATCTTTGTGTTTGTCTCTTACATCTTTGAAACACTCTTCTGTTCACCCCTCTCGACTTTTTCAATTTGATGTTCCTTCCCCTCTGTGAAGCCGGAAGTCAACTAATGGGCTAATTATAACTATCAAAACGCCTGCCATTTTATATAAATAAATAAATATCTGAGCTAGAGGTTTTGCTATGAACATGAATTTAAAAGAATTATTGAATGATGAGATTTAACTAAAAATCAAATCTTGAACGTTGATTTTTCGTTTTTTTTAAATGTGAAGACCAGCTCGTTGATGCCGTAATTCTTAATCTCTCTCAATTGACTCTCTGTTTTGAGCATATGACTATGCACAGTAATTTCATTTCTCGATTGATTGATTAAGTTTTTCAGTGGTTGTGATGTGACTAAATTTAATTGTGCCTTGTACAAACATAGCCTAGCAGATGAGATTGGCTGCAGCAAAAGTTACATATAACTGCTCAATTCAGACTAGTCAATGCGAATTTCCAGTATCTTTCAATATGTTATCAATATTTTATCATGCACTGTTCTAATTTTCGAAAGCGTACTTAAATGATGATTTCAGCATACACATCTGGATTTAATGATACGAAATTCTGTAACGATCTACACGCTGTTTTGGCATTCGAATTAAAAATATAACTAAAGTTTTTCGTTCAAGTAAAACGCATACAGCCAAATTCGCACAATACATAGCATATCGGAATTCATGTTAGTTATAAATGCAATTTAATTGCTAGCCAGTATTTTTGTAATAATGGGTACAATGTAAATGCATTATGTGTTTGTTCTAGAGCTTTTTTCATGTTCACCGGAGGTTCTGTATGTGGGGCGAAATATGTTTTTTGGAAAGTGACTGTCTGATAATTGAAGTTGGGTCTTTTGTAGTAATAAATATTAATTTAAATAAACATGTTTGCTTCAAAGCAAAATCAATTTTAACACCGCCAAGGAAAAATTTTAAGAATTTTTCAAAATTACATTTTTGCCTTGACATTTAACTTCTAATTTGAGGAAAAATAACTCCCGTAAAAATAACTCTCTAGGTTTGAGAAAAAAAATTTTTTTGCATGGCAATTCTATTCATCTTGTGAATTGAAAAGTTTTGGGGTTTGATATTTTAATAGAAAAGATAGTCCATCAACCAACACACTTCACTTCTAAAGGTTATTGTTTCTTTATTTGCATTAAAATTTATGTGAGCACACTTATTTTCTTACTGTGTACAAATTTAATTAAAGAAAATTTTAGAATAAAAAGGGGTTGATTAATATAATTAAGTACTTGGTAAAAAACGCAAATTACCCCGAGCAAATAGATTTTCACATTTTTATCATTCCTGATTCGAAAACTGGCACGATACGTATACGTTAAACTGTGAAAATTTTTTTATTGTTTTTTGATCAAAATTTGTTTATTTGTTCTAAACATCGGTGTCTTCGATGCCTCAAAATTGAAAAAAACTATGCAAATTTGGTGATTGACAAAAGTAAATATAAAGTGTTCCCCTTTTATGAAACAAAATTAAATATTTGCTTAAACACGGAGGCATTTAAATTGTCGCAATTACTGATTAGAAGCAACAACCATCGTACGCTTTTGGGATTTCAGAAATCAGCGATATGTTGTAGATATTAAGGGGATGTAATTACAAAGCGCCTTAGTAAAAATTACTCGAATGAATTCGAATACAATGAATTTGAAGTTAATTCTTTTCTATTGTTCCTCGATTTCAAATAAAAGGATCAGGTACAAAAGACATTCAATTACTTACTGGTTTCAGAATTTAAGCAACCGTTTAATCTTTTCGCATTCCAGAGTTATCAGTGAAATAAGCATTGGGAGAAGGTAAAACGAATGAAAAATGTTTATATGAAGGTTGGATTAATGGAATGTGACGTAAAAAGAAAACGAGGCGTAATTGACAATATCAAATGCAGAAATCTGTCAACGTTTCTCAGGCCTCTTCCATCCACTTGGATCAAAATGGATAGCTATGAATTCTTTCCGCTAATCTTTTGTAATCATAATGTTATTTCAGAAAGGAAAATTAGAGTGTATAAAAGATCTTGTAAAGTAGATAAGCACATTAAGACAACGCAAATGGCCCACAAATATGTCATTTAAAATTAACCGCGAAGTTGGGAAAAAATTAATTATGGAAATGCTTCATTAATTCACGCAAGTGTTTGCGAAAAAGTTTTATAAATTTCATGGTCTTGATAGCAGATAAATATTACTAATTAAATTAAATGAGAAAATTACCTATTCTAATGCTTTATTTGCTTACTTTAGTAAATAGCTACATTAGCTAACTCCTTTATGATTATCTTTTGTCTCTATTGGCATAGTTGAGGTGATAATACAATGGATGATTGGTGCTTGACATCAAAATGATGCCTATATTCATGGATATTGGCAATTACAATTCAAAACGTTGGCCTGAAACTGACTTTGTAATTTCTCTGTCCCCAGCAGTTTTTCGCAATTCGATTGCCAGACATACTAAACCGTAAATCGAATTAAAATTGTAAGTGACACTGAACAAACAGGAGGAATACAAGTTCAAGCACATCAAAAATTAGCAAAAGAGAACAATAATCATTGAATATTGCTCAAAGTAAATGCAACTTTCAAACCTGAGTCGATTTCACTTTAAACAGCATAAACACCTATGAGATGACTACGTGGAATGAAAAGTTTGTTGTCAGTGAATATCTCGGAAGAGGCGCTTTTACAATAGTTTTCGATGTTAAAAGCACATGTGGTGCGGATAAAGGCGAACATTATGCACTGAAACGATTCCTTCTCAAAGAACCAAATGCCGTTCGAAATTCTCTTCGGGAACTTAAAATCCTGCAACGTATTGCAAATGAAAAGCCAGATTGTAAACAATTGGCTTCTATGCACTACAGTTTTATTCACAGTGGTTCGCCCTGTATTGTCATGAAACTTTTATCAAGGCATACGCTACTTAATCTATTAAGCAATGTCTTCTATCTTACAGAGTATGATGTGGTATTTTACGCTGCAGAAATACTACATGGATTAGATCAACTTCACTCAATGAACATCGTGCATATGGACATAAGGCAAAAAAACATTATTTTCACCGAGTCGGGTCATTTAGTGATATCCGATTTTGACCGTGCGATCGATCTCTCCGCTGAACAGCCTTACGACAACTTAAGGTTCATACTGCTTCCCCATGATCGAGCTCCAGAAATCAAATCAAACTTTCGCATTACAACACAAGCCGATATTTGGAGTTTTGGTATCGTTCTAGAAGAAATGGTCAATGCTATGTTAAATCCCTCGCCTTCTCTTAAAAACTTAATTGACAGGTGCTTAATCAAATGTTACTACAAAAGGTTTAGTGCTGAGCGGCTTAAAAGGCATCAGGTATTCAAATGTATTAAATGGGATTGTATTGCCGCCTGGAGTTATCCACCCCCATTATTGCCTTCTTCCCTACCCTATGAGTTTGGCGATGAAGTAGAACAACTGAAGGAATTTCTAAAATATGATGCAGCAATAGATAGTACACCAGAATTAAGAGAGAAACCTATTGAAGTCCAAAATCAAGCATTTTTGACTGAATGTGCATTTGGGCAGAGTATGCCTTGTATTAGTAGAAAGCAAATGATTCATCTAAATGAAGATGGAACTGAGCTTAAAGGTGTAGCGATATTTGCAAATTCCGATTTCAATCGAGAAGAAAGTAAACAATATGTAACCTACTTTAAAGAATATCAGTCTACAAATCCTATAGTTAAAACTGAAGAAACAGAAACCTAAGGTGCTCATTCTTAGGATATATTAAAGATTTTTCTTAAAATTTTAATGTATTTCTTTGTAAATTTAATTATCCATTGTTAAATGAAGGCTGTGTCTTTATGCTTATTATAAAGCTTTTGAAGAAACAGAATTATATTTTACTTCCAGTGGATATTTTAATTTTGGCCATTTTGTCACAGTTTATATTAGGTTGGCAACGAAGTCATTGTCGATTTCAAATAAGAAGGCAAATTTGGAATTTTTGTTTAAAAATATAACTTTATTCAATTCGATATTGGCCGTTCTTGTCGATCACCTTTTTCCATCGTTCTGGCAGAGTAAAAATTCCCCGTTCGTAAAATTTCCGGTCTTTGCTATTAAAAAACTGAATTAGGTGTGATCCGACATCATCCGCGTTGTTAAAAATTTTACCATTTAAAGAGTTGTGCATGGAACGAAACAAATGGTAATCCGAAGGCGCAAGGTCAGGGCTATATGGTGGGTGTGACAAAACATCCCAACCCAGTTCCAATAATTTTTGCCGAGTAACCAAAGATGTGTGGGGGGGGGGCCTTGCGTTATCATGATGGAAAACAACACCCGATTTGATAATGCCGGTCGCTTATCTTCAATTGCATCCTTCAGTTTTTCGAGTTCTTCAACATACACATTTGAATTTATCGTTTGGTTCTGCGGCATGAGTTCAAAATACAAAATTCCTTTGTGATCCCCCCCCCCCAGACTGACAGCATAATCTTTTTTTGGTGAATCTCTGCTGCTTTTGATACTGTTTGGGCTGGTTGATCTTGCTTCACCCATGATCTCTTGCGAGTAACAGTCTTATAAACTATCCACTTTTCGTCGCCAGTAACTAGGTTCTTCAGAAATGGATCATTCTCATTGCGTTTCGGTAGCGGCGGATCACAGATGCTAATCCGTTGCGTCAAATGAATTTCCTTTAACTGGTGAGAGATCCATAAATCAAGTTTCTTCACATAACCAAGGGTTTTCTTTTTTTCAATGCATGTATGCGACACATTGAGCTTCTCTGCAATATCTCGTGTTGTGCTGTGACGATTTGAATCGATAATGGCCTTGATATGGGTTTCATCCACTTCGACTGGGCGGCCAGATCGTTGAGAATTTTTCAGTGAAAAATCACCGGAACGAAATCTTTCAAACCAATTTCGACACTGCCTTTCTTTTAAGGCTTCATCTTCATATACGGCACATAACTTCTTTTGTGCTTGCGATGCGTTCCTGCATTTTCGGAAGTAATACAATAAAATGTGTCGGAAGTGCATGTCCTGTTCTTTCATTTTTAAATTGGGATAAAAACAAAACTAAAGAACTAAACAAAACATTTTTTACTAATTAACCTAGAAGCCCATACAGTAAGAAAAAAAATAAAGGTTAGATGCACTGGCCACGTTAACAAAACAAAAGGAAGTATAGAGTGAATCTGTCAACAAAAACGGCAATGACTTAGTTGCCAACCCAATACAATATAGAAAACAAAGTTAGCATCCGATGAGCAATAATTTACTGTTCCTTGAAATTTAGAAAATATTAACTACTCTATGCTACTAAGGACAATCTTATCTGCTTATCCTAATATACGGACAAGTTTGTAAATGGCAAATTTAAATTTCAAAAAATACTGCTTTACAGGCACGTCTAGATAGTTAAAAATTTAATGGTTAAATGATCTCAAATGTCTTTGACAAGCACAAACCCATATAAAATGAAAAACGAAATTTCTGGTAAACAGTAAGAGGATTAGGAAAGGATTTAAGTTTTAGGTTTAACACTTCCAAAAACAGTATCCTTTCCAGTAAAACCGTGAGAATAAATCAAAAAGTTTCGTTAAGTAGGTTTCGGTTGCTCTGCTAGAAAACAAGAAAATCTTATTCACCGCTTTCCTTACGTGTTTTTGACTCCTAGATATTGTTGAACTATGGTAGCCAACTCTCTTACCAATAAGTAAAGTCTTTACATACGAAGGTAATTTGCTCTCGAGCCTAAATATAAATAATGGACCGATTAATGACAGCCTCCTGAAATTGATGCACTAGTATCCGCATTTAGAATATGTAATTTGTCGATAAACCATCTAGCATTAACTCGTTAGATCCATTTTACGACTAATATGACCATCTCTTTGAAGATTTTGTAAGAATGTGTAACTAACCCGATCTAAGGTGACATTTGGCTTAACGAAGACTGGAAATCACCACCGTGTGCCTTTTAAAATGTCACAGAGGAGAGCTGCAACTTAAACTTTAGAGAAAATAAATCAGATCCATATGTGATGTCTTATTTTATCATCGATTGTCTTCACAAATATTGCCATTTAGGAATTATTAGATACCGTAGCATTAGAGACCGATTTCATATTTATTGAAGATATTTTGTGTGACGAAAGTGAAAATTTTATAGTACACTCTTTTATTTCACTTTATTAATTATAATTTTTATGCAGTAAAAAACTGATGAAGCACTTGACAACTTTTCGTCATTGCTTTATCTGATTAAGTTTGCACAGCATGGCAATTCAAATACTAATTTGTTTTTCCCTGTAACTTTTAACTTTTTTCATTTCATAATTCAATGACATAAAGGATTCTTTCAACGTGGTGAGAGAAAAAATGTCATTCGACGTTACTGACTTAGTGCATTTCCGATGCGAGTTGTGACAAATTAATTCTTTAAAAATTTTAATCTTGCACTTTTGACGCTAGGCAAACAAAAAGAAACTTTTCATCTCTTAGAATGTAAAATACTGAGGTATTAGGATCATTTTTTTAAAACTTAATAAAGCAATATTACAAGTTAAGTTAAATGTTTGTACGAAATTTATAAATAAGTCAACTAATTATTTTATTGCCTTGAAAATTCTCTTTTATGCTGTTTTATAAAAGTGACGCAGCGTTAGTAAATATGGGTAAACAGAATTCAACGTGCTTTGAGAAGGTAAATTCATTAAAATTTCTATAAAAATTACTTCGTTTATGTTTAAGTCAAAATAAACAAATTTAGTTAGATTGTTTATTTATCTTGAAAAATAATTTTAAGTCAACTTTTATATGTGCATTTCAAAAATAAAGAAGTCTATATAGTTTATGCTTACAAAATAAAAACAATAAAAATATATTATTGATAAGGAAACAAGATTTAGAAATATCTGCTTCGTTATAAATACAGTGGGAAAAGTGGAGCGGAAATAATATTTCCTAAAATCAACTGTTCAAGCAGTTACTATTCAAGTAGTTACCCGCTAAGTATATCCTTTTACATTTTACATTTTTGTGTATAGACCAAGATAAGATTGTAAAAGAAAATGGTTTTGTGTAAGCAATTAGTCTTTCAATAATTCATTTTACCAACGCGGAATAAACTCTAAATTGAAAAGATTCTACTTAGAAAATGGACATGAGATTGCTGCAACCACCGTTCCGATATGGGTCCAACATATATCCTAGGAATTCAAAAGATTCACTACTTAAATAATGTCGATGAGCAATGAAAGAAAATTCTTTCAGTTTTGAATTTATACGCAATTTTAGTCAACATGGATGAGTAAACTATACACTTAAGCATTCAATAAACATATTCCGTTGTAAATATCCTTGATTCCATACTGAATTTAATACTGCATTAGAAGTAATATACAAATATTTAAAAAACGATTTTTTTCTATTTAAAATATATGAGCTTTTCAAAGGTAGTGTTAATTATTGCGGAGAATATTCGAAAAAGCACACCATTTCATATGTATATTGGCTTTTTCTTATCTTCAAAAATAAGTTAAAAGTTTTCTAATATTTACGGTAGGTTTACAAGAAAAATACAAATGAAGTGTTGTTACCAAATCAGTGCTAAACTAATTCCTTGCTTTGCAAATTACGTGAAATTATAAAAAATTAATAGTTATTAAAATCCCTACTTTCTGATCGGCAGTTACCAATTTAAAAGCGAAATTAAAGTCGAATAATAGTATTTTCGGATATAATTCACTTGTCTTTTTCTAAATTGTTCTATTTTTGAAGACCTCGAATGAAATCTCTAGTAATTAAGTTCAATTGAATTCGCTAAAATTGTGTGATTGAGAGGGAACGTTTGATAATTATAAAGGAACGATTGGGCTTTGTTTCGCATTCCTCAAATCATCGAGGCTATTCGCTTAGATAGACGATTACAAACTTTTTTCACATTTTTTTCAATTTCTAATGAGTGTAATAATATAGAGTTTTTCACTCTGATTTATTTCGCTTTTATTTGAATGATTAAGGAAACAAATTTAATTTCTCTTAGCTCATCAGAAATACCTGCAACCTCTGCTTAAAATGAAGCATTTGAAAGAGTTTAATTTTTATGGGGTGTGCGATAGACTTACCTCCACGTGGTGCACCCTGGGCAACGTATATTCATACGGCAAAAAGTCTATTAACCGGCAGTTGACTTCTCACTTCAAACTACCATGGCCTGACTGCTTGTCTTATTCGTCCATTTTCACAGTACGCATCTTACCTTATTCTCCACCTTTGTGTCTGTCTGCCTCTTTTACATCTGTGAATCGCTCTTCTGATCCCCACCCCTCGACTTTCTGCTTTTTTGATGAACCTTCCTTCTGTGAAGCCCGAAGTCAGCTAAATGGCTAATGATAGCCATCATAACCCCTGCCATTTGAAAAAATAAATAAATTTTTGCACTAACTAATGCAAATCCCTATATTGTTATTTAAATTTCAAAAGTGTTCGGCAAAAAAATATTAAATAAAAGCATGATTATTCGCAAGAAATAAATTTCAGCCGTAACTAAATGGCATCTGGCTCTCTATTCGATGTGCCCAACATATAATTGGATAACTTTTATGACTTCTTCGTAAATAAACTTGACATTATTATTATAGACAATATAAACAGTTGTAAAAAAATTAGTGTCACTTAATTTTTTTATACGGTCTTTGATCCCATTTCGACCCTTTAAATATTTCTTACAACTTGTTAAAAGATATCTTT